TGACCCGTAATGTCCTCAGATCTTTGTTTAGCGGTAGCGAGAACTAAGATCTGATTTTAATGAGATTGCTCTCGGGGGCACGGGGGGCCCAATCGTCTAAGGCGCCGCGATTCGCTGTGCAGAGTTGCGTCCCTTGGGCACCCCAGAAACCTATGATTGTGGGTTCGAATCCCGGTTCGCCCCGATTACGTTTCTAGGTTTGTCAGCAACATACCCGTGCTCGTGGGTTTCACCGAAGAGTGAGTGAGTGAGTGAGTATGGTTTTACGCCGCTTTTAGCAATATTCCAGCAATATCACGGCGGGGGACACCAGAAATGGGCTTCACACATTGTACCCATGTCGGGAATCGAACCCGGGTCTTCGGCGTGACGAGCGAACGCTTTAACCACTAGGCTACCCGACCGCCCCGTTTCACCGAAGAGGTAAACGTCTAAGACCTGCATCACTTCGGGCTTTCCTTCCACATTAAGCTGACACACTGTGATATAACTGGAATAATGTCAAAAGCGGCGTCAAACCCAACTCACTCACTCAGGTGTCCCCCGCCTTGATATACCTGGAATATTGCTAAAAGCGGCGTGAAATACTCACTCACTTGAGCGTTTGCCATATTGCTATGCTATGCAATAGTCTATGATTATCTTGTACTTATACTCGAATTGAATAGATTCGCTCACTAAAATAAATGAATCTATAGTCAGTATAGCCTGTGTTCACTCAGCGTATCAGCGACAGTACTAGATAACCGGCTGACATGAGTTTCGCCGGGGCCCCTTTCACCAGAATATAGACTATAGTCGGCCAACTACCCATGCGTTACCAAGTTCCAGTTCTTTATGATATTAACATATTTATTTCCATAAAGTGGAGGGATTGGCAAACAAGCAAATTTTGCTTATCTGAATGCCTCTCCCAAACATGATACACATACAAATTACAATGTATTAAAGTGATATGAGAAAAAGCATACATGATATAATTGACATTAAAGATGATTATTGTTCTGTAAGTGTTTTATTACTGGATTATCTTTCCAAACTACAGCTACGTTATATTATTTACATCTAGCACAACAACATCACAGTATCATATATACTTGCCGTAAAAGGCGACTGTGCTTGTCGTTAAAGGCGACTACTAACGGGATCGGGTGGTCAGACTCGCTGACTTGGTTGATACATGTCATCGATCCCAATTGCGTGGATCGCTGCTCATGATGTCAATCACTGGATTGTCTGGTCCAGGCTCGATTATTTACTGGCCGCCGTCATATAGCTGCAATATTGCTGAGTGCGGCATTATACAACCAAAAAAAATTAACCTCTGAAATATGCAACCAATATACTTACTTAAACGAATGAGTGTTCAACAATCAGTAGTTGTGAATAAGCATCGGAGTTTATAAAAGTTGGGATTTATACGACAATAGTTTGGTAATAATTTTCTTTCAAATCTAAAACAGGTACACTGGAACATATGATATTCATTTCCCCTTGTACGCGAGTCACAATTCGGGCAGAGTCTCAATCAAAGGAACATTCTGCCACGACCCGTTTCTACGGACAAAATAGTATTACTTGTACGAAATTGTAAAACTTGTATTGAAGAACACTTGACTTATCAAAATCATCCATTGTCTTTGGAATTATATAAACGTCAAAACTTGCATCCAAATAACATAAAATAGCAAATATTTCAGTCGGAGGCTTGGAGGCTTGCTCATTGTTACCTCAGACTGTCACTGGCTACAATTATTAATGGCTATGTATGACTGCCCCCCCCCCCCCCCCCCCCCCCCCCACACACACACACAATTAGGTGATTTCTTCCACAATTAGTACATTAAGTTCTTAAAATGATATATGAAGTGTGATTATCTTACATTTGAATATAATATGTATGACTTCATTCCAATATTTGAAAATCTATGGCAACATTTAACTTCTCGGCCACTCTTCATATATGTCCTCTATTTGACCTTGAACTATTATAATGAATTAAATTGTCCCCGTGATATTTTTTAGAAAGTAAATAAAAGTTGTATACCCAGATTGTTCTTTAATTGAGTTATATTAGAAAGAAAACTATAATAAATTTGAATATCTTCCTTCCTACAAATATCCAAGAATACGAAAATACGAATTATATAGGCCTATATCTTGTGACCTTGAGAAAGGTCATTCCCATGAGTTGATTTTGGTAGACTTTTTTTTCCTGAAAGCTGACATGCTACCAAATAACATAAAATATGAATTATTTCTGTTGCAATTTTCTTGAGGTTGGCCATTTATTTCGACCAAAATGACCAGACTACACAGTTTTATACCCACTACAGTTCGTGACAGTTCGTGCATTTTCGATTTCGCGAGAAATTGGTGCATGATACCCACATATTCATTGAAATGGTGCGTTTTGGCGATTCGTTTATTTATGTTGCGTTTTTACTCGGGGCTTCCAAAATGCAACAAAAAATATCAGGCTTCACTACATGCTAAAAATCGTATCAGTTTATAGTTCCGTGTTTGTTACCTATTTGATAAAACCACTCGCGTTTCTTTTGCGTGTGAGTATATATATAATATCCACTTATTTTTTGACTGGCAAGAGCTCAGTCCTGTCATCATCAGGATCATGGTGTCCCACATTGAGTATATTGTCTGTCACATTATTTAGCATAAAGATCAACAGTTTATAAAACGTTTGAAGTGATTCAATTGATGGAACTCTTCTTGTGGCTTATTTTAATATTTCCTGTCGTGGCAAAAACATGAATTCTATTGAACGGCAACTGCAGTTATGTTTTTAAAAGAACATAATGGTCTTTAGAAAATTAATTTAAATTTTCAAACTCCAAAACTAACTGTATTCCTTTTTGTTGAAGAAATGAACCGGAAATATTTTTAGATGACACTCCTATTAAAGCTGTAAAAGAAGCCAAATTCTAAGGAATAATGTTTCATCATCATTTGACCTTCTTTAAAGAATAAATGCACGAAGGCTCTTGATTTAATAGTAGTTTCAAATTCTAAATAAGGGGAGGGGGGTCAGTGTGCAATCAATTTGGACTTCGCCCCAAGAGGTGGTGGACTTCATGCCCTTCAATATCGATCAACAAAACTTGGTTGATATATTAAACGGATCTTGGACTTGGTCTCGAGGTGGGGTGGATGTCGTTCACAGAGCACAAAAATAATTAAATATTCTTTAACAAAAATAGCCAGGTTTATAACTCATGTCATAAAGTATCACTTTTATTTTGAAATTTTAGGAATAATTGCCCCCCGTTTTCATGGACACTTCGTCTGAAATAGTCTTGGTGTTTTTGTTTGAGAAATATCAAGACTTTGAAAATTTGTTTCAAATAAAAGAAAGATTCTTTGCTCGGGGTTGTGTGATTTCTTTTTTCATATTAACAGTTGTCAGGAGTGAGTGAGTGAATGAGTTTTAACAGTATTACAGTTTTATCGCGGCGTGTCAGCTTAATGTGGGAGGAAAGCACGAAGTGATGCAGGTTTCAGACGTTTACCACTTCGGTGAAACCCACGAGCACGGGTATGGTGCTGACAAAAGTTGTCACGAAGTATTATCATAGGATAAACATCTGAAATAGGTTCCCATGGCAATGTTTAGACTTTTTCAAGGAAAAAATATATTTTTTAATCGACTTGTGTCATATTTATTTCATCCTTTTAAGTGATCTATTAACGTGGGACAAACAAGGAGTGAGAGTGTTGTCTACATATCTACTACTTTTGAGATATAGTACAGCTTTTTGCAAATGTGTAATAAAATCTTCTTACACCAATGCGACATACCATAGTATATGTGTATAAGCCCATCTCTCAGCCTCTGCTCACTCCAATATCTAAGGAACACTAAAATTTGAATTCCTGCCATTTGTAAATTAGCCCATTCCTTAGGTTTTGTTCCATACTTGGTTGATCCATTGGGCTTACATTACAAAAGTGGGGACAAGGTAGATATGTGATCTTGTGATGACACTTAGTATGGTAGTGTTAATTAGTAATTAGAGAGGTTGAAGTAGAGTAAAATTATCGCCCCCCTTAGAGGGTAAGTAAGTTCCACGTCATTCAAGGTATTTTTATGCATACCAGAATTTTAAAAGAAGTATACTTGTAATTTTTATTGATAGCTAAACTTACATACAATAGCCAGCAGCTGAAGGGATGGTGTAAATCCTGCTGTGGAACCGAGCAGGAAGCAAACGTATTGAAGTCCCCATGGTCCCAGATATGGTGGCTTTACTTTGGTTGCTGGCGATCTATAGCCCCTTTTCATATTGTGCTGTTTACTAATAGTTTTACGTACTCTCAAACTAGTTTCAAATAAAATCTGTGATCATCTAGTTATTGTACTGTCCTTCGACAACAGGATTTTGTACAGTCTTAATATCTTTCTTATTTATTTATCATTTTTTCTCGTCACGATATGGCTGAAATACTGCCGATGTGACGTTAACGTTTAACTCACTCACTCAATTGCCTTGGAGCCGATTTAAAGTCTGTATGTAACTATTCTGTGACACCTCTCTTGATCCCATATAGTGATTACACGCCCGTGATTGGATTTTATGCCCGATATATGATGCAAAAGAAATGGGACATGGGATGTAAATACATCAACTAAAACCAACTATATGTTACCAATGTTTAATGTTACATTCATTTAATAAAATGTCTTTAAAAGAATTTGATTTGTATCATACATTTTGACCAATATGTTCTGAATAACATCTTTTTTTCAAATTGGAAGATTCAATTGGCAACTGAGATTGTCAGGGACTGTATCCTTGAAGAGGGTTAAAGTAGGGTTAAATTATTGTAGCCCAGAGAGGATACATAAATTCAACATTATTCACGGTATAGTTAACAATACCAAATTTTTAATCGTAGAATATTTGCTAATTATACTTATCGGTAAAACATGTCAAATTTCACCAGCAGCTGAAGGGGTGGTGTAAACCCTCCTAGGTACTTACACATAACATCAATCTTTGTGCATGTACTCCTGTGTTCCCCTTTCGTATTGTTGACGTAGATCTCATATTCTCCTGACTGGCTTCGGCTCACATTTTGGAGTGTGAATACACATGTGGAAACTATCTCATGACAACCGCAGTGCACCATAGATGCCACGGGTATAGATGTCCTCGTCAATGTGGTGTAAGTAGCGTTGGGAACAGACTCACAGAGTGCAGTTATATTCACATCTTCCCCTTCTGGTACATCGATTGAGCTATCACTGGTGACGTTTAGCACGATGCCACCTGCAAAAGTTCAAAAGGTTCAACTTTGTTCATTTTTGTCATTTCCGATAACATTGACGGATGGATAAATATTAAGAAATTAAAAAGATGTATTGCACTGACAAATGAAGGATGAAACAAAAAAGGATGGTTAATGGCGACCCATGTTGTTAGTCAGTTGGCCACCATAGGAAAAGAGTCTTAGTTAAGATTTTCGTTCCCACATTTTCTGTACACCTAAAACGTTTTTTTTATTGCACGAAGCACGTATCTGCACACAATTTCTAATGTGTAGTAAGCTTGCAAGATTGTGCATGAAATTTCAGAGCCTCTGAATAGGCCAATTTTGTTTCAGTTAAATTAAATGTCAACTGATAATAAATAATAATATTAATATAGAATGACATTTCGAAAACTAATTTCGACATCTTATGTCAAACTGAGTATTAATGTTTTTATTAATTATATACATAAAATTGACTATTTAAAAGTATGGGATCAGACCCCATCTCTGTTATTAACTCGTTTTTGTCAGTGTCAAGTGACGTCAAGTTATCATCAGTTTGGGATTTCCAGTAAGATGTAAGTATTTTTGTATTTCTCTTTCATAACCATGTACCAATGTAGTTCAGTGATGAAAGGGTTATGTCCTGAAGAATATTTACTGCTATAACAGATTTATTTCTTGCCTTCAGTGATATCATCAGGGCAGGTAATTCTCGAGTTATCTCAAGTTTTCTATAACAAGCTTGTATTTGAATAATTCAAAGATTCAACTTTACAAATCTTATAAAATACGCTTTGTACATCAGAGTATTACATATTATGAACCATTTAGACTCAAACATTCAATTATTCAGAGTTGCTTATGTCAGACAAGGGAGATCACTTTGCATTTTTTTGTGAGGCTCTACACCGGTGGATCATTGTTCACATGTTTATGTTAATTATTCATATAGGGTAGCCTAGTGGTTAAAGCGTTCGCACGTCACGACGAAGACCCGGGTTCGATTCCCCACATGGGTACAATGTGTGAAGCCCCTTTCCGGTGTCCCCCGCCGTGATATTGCTTGAATATTGCTAAAAGCGGCGTAAAACAATACTCACTCACTCACTCACATTTTTATCTTTATTTTCAAGTGTATGTATACAATCCCTGTACTTTGAATGCAAAATAATGCAAACATAAAATATATTGGTGAGCTGGATATAATTCAGCATATAATTGTATGTTAATCCTTCCTTACAGATTAATCTGGGATATGATGGAAGACTCCTTCGACCCTTCTGATGTGCCTTCAAAGCGTGCGAAACCTTCCCTAAAATCGACAGTTGTGTTTATTTTGTCAGACAAAACGAAAGCTGCTTCATCAAACGCTGGAAAACAAGGCATTGAAAAAGTGCCATAAATATTAGAAATACGGTCAAGGCATCGATCTCCCCATGATGAAACCCTTAAAGTGGAAGTATCTTGGCATTCACAAGCAAACAAAATTTAGTAAGCATTACAAAACTCAAGCATGTTGACAAGGATTAAACTACTACTGTGACTGATGATGATGACCCCGATATCTGGAAACCAACAACAAGAACAGAAGTTCAGAAGGTAGCCTGGACAAAATGTATCTTCTGCCAGTCTCGAAAACGTGGAAGTCTGCATCAAGTACAATCTCTGGAAGTAGCAAGACTGATACAAGACATTGCAGAACGGGATCACATGTTAAAGTGTATATTGATGAAAACGACCAATTTGCTTATGAAGCTCACAATCACAGATCTTGTAAAGCTGAGAAGAATCTAGTTGCTGATAAACCATTAAAAGAATGATGTCTACAGCACAGCTTCGACCCGATTGGTAGACATTATTGATTTCAGCTTTCAACTAGGTCATGTATTAAACTGATGCAGCAGCATGCATACCTGACAGTGTATATACTCTGCTGAGGAAGATACTGACTGATGGTGTAGACAATAATGAACAAGATTCTCAGATTCACCAGAAAATTCTTAATGTAGGGCCGAACATTTTTTATGCTTTCCCAAAAGGAAAGAAAAACACACCAAAGCATATTGCTACAGGGCTACTAGTACACCACGTAACAAGATCAAATGCCCTTGTTAACTATCTTCATGCCAGTGGGGATAGCATTGGTTATGATATTGTTCTTCGAATAGACACATCACTAGCCAATGCGCAAATTGAACGTTTCTGTTATATCTGTAATTGAAACGCAGTAGTTTTAAACAAGCTAGTGTATAATATTATGACAGGCCAACAGATGTCCGCTCTTGTAATGCGATTAGTTGCAGGTAAGCGCAATCACGTGCTGTTATGTAACATGCGACAGTCGGAATAAACAGCCGGTCAAGTGGCAGGCTCGTCTCCCTGCTCCCGCGTTTGTCGTTCCTCCCTGAGAACCCAACATTTTGGCGACGAGGATGGGATCCAAGGTAGCTATGAAGTATATGTAAAGGAATTTTGGTACGTTTATCTGGCTGTTTGACGATACATTGACGAGGTGTGTTCGTTGCGACGAGTGTGTTAGCCAAGAGCACGTGGTCTGCTGACCTTTGTTTCACCCGTCAGTGTGAAGTAGGAGAAGCGGTATAGATGAACATTGACTTTTGTTTCGCTCTTCTTGAGGCATTATAACCGTCACTATCTTCAGCTCAGAGATTATGGCTACCACGGGTTTTGTTTGTGGATTGTTTGAATTTAATCCAAAGAAGTCGACATGGGAGGAATGGTGTGAGATACTGACACATGTTTTCGTGGCAAACGGAATTACAGACGAAGACAAACAGAAAAGCATACTGTTAGCGTCATGTGGAACTGAAACTTACCAGTTGATAAGAGCATTGGTTCAGCCCGTGAAACCTAGCGAGAAAACGTTTGACCAGCTGGTGGTTTTATTGAAAGAACATTTCACGCCAAAACCATCGGAAATTGTACAGAGATTTAAATTTCATTCACGGAATAGGAAGGCTGGTGAAAGTGTAGCTGCTTATGTCGCCGAATTGAGAAAGTTGACTGACGGGTGTGATTTTGGAACGTCTTTACAGGCCATGTTGAGAGACAGGTTAGTGTGTGGTATTTGTGATGACAATATTCAGAAAAAGTTGTTGTCAGAGACTGCTCTAACATTTAGTAGTGCATTGAAAATTGCTAACGCAATTGAGGCGGCAGACAAGAATCTACAGGATCTTCACGGTGATAAAACTGTGGGACATTCAGTACACAAGTTTCGCAGTAAACCATCAGCACAATCTACAAAAGACCAGAGGCCTCATGTTGGATCTGGAAATAACAAACCTTGTTTTAGATGTGGAAAAACTACTCATGCTCCACACATGTGTTTTTATAAGAATGAGAAGTGTCAGTATGTTTATGGACGTCATTTCCAGATCGTGACAGATCACAAGCCGTTGGTGTCATTATTCAATGAGAATAATCCAGTGCCACAGATGGTGTCTCCAAGAGTTCAGAGATGGTCAGTGTTGTTGACTGCATATGACTATAAAATTGTACACAGGAAAGGTACACAGCATACCAATGCAGACGCATTGAGCAGGTTGCCAGCGCCTGACTCAGGGAAGCCTATGGAAGACATGACAGTCTTAATGCTTCAGGAATTGGACACATGCCCTCTGAAGTCTAAAGACATAAGTATCCAGACTGGCAAGGACCGAACATTGTCTATTGTTCGAGAATTTGTGATCCGAGGTTGGCCACAGCGTGATAAGTTGGATGACCACTATGAGCCGTACTACAGAGTTCGTTCTGAACTCAGTGTGATGGATGGATGCTTATTGAGAGGTTCGAGGGTCATCATTCCATTGAAACTCAGATCTGTCATATTGTCAGAGTTGCATCAGTCCCACCCAGGAATCACCAGGATGAAGGGCTTGGCCCGAAGCTATGTTTGGTGGCCGCATCTAGATGCTGACATAGAAGTAACAGTAAACAGTTGTGATTCCTGCCAGGAAGACAGGAATTGTCCGAGTGTAGCTCCCCTACACCCTTGGGAGTATCCTTCTCAACCTTGGCAAAGACTGCATATGGATTATGCTGGTCCATTCATGGGTAGCATGTTTCTTATAGTGATTGACGCCTACTCCAAATGGATCGAATGTGCACCTATGTCGTCGTCAAATGCAAAGGCTACCATAAACCAGCTGCGTCGGATGTTTGCAGCTTATGGCATACCAGAAATTATTGTAACTGATAATGCTACAGCTTTTGTTGGGGAAGAATTTGCTACATTTATGTCCAGAAATGGAGTTGAACATGTGACAACATCCCCTCATCACCCGGCTGGGAATGGCTTAGCAGAAAGGGCGGTTCAAATAATAAAAGATGGATTAAAGAAGACAACTGGTGACACAGTTGCAACTCAACTACATAGGTTACTATTTTCTTATAGAATTACACCACAGTCTACAACTGGTGTATCACCTTCAATGTTGTTTCTTGGACGCAGATTGCGTTCGCGATTGGACTTGATGTTTCCAAACCTTGCCTCAAAGGTGAAAAAGAACCAGAGAAAACTTGTGGATCAGTCAGCTCTAACGAAATGTAGGGCATTCCAAGTGAATGACTCGGTGTGGGTTAAGAACTTTGCTTCAGGTCCAAAGTGGATTAGTGGACAAGTTGATAGTGTAACTGGTCCATTGTCGTACATCATCAAGTTAACGGATGGAAGATTGGTCAGAAGGCATGTGGATCATGTCAGACGCAGGATGTCTTTATCTTCACCCCGAAGGGACGTGATTGAACGTTCAGACACTCCGCTAGAATCACAGTCTTCACGAAGGAAGGAGTATGAATCAGACTTACCTGACACATCACAGGTAGATTCCCATGAGGAAAGTATCCAAGGGGATGTTTCAAGTGTATCAGATATGTCTGAACCGGGGGAGGAAACGCCGGTAGTGACATCGCCTGTAGCACCCATACTTCGTCGTTCAACCAGAGTGAAGCAGCAACCGTCTTATCTGAGGGACTTTGTGTCAAAGTGACA